AAGTACCATAAAGAACACAGAAAGGCTAAGGAATGCTGAGTCACAACAACGAATCAGCCCGATCTCCTGCTGAACTGGACGCCTTTGTGCAACATCTATGGTACTTATCTTGTCACATGACACAGAATGTCTATCGCTCTGTGAACCCTGTTTCCATTACATTACACCTCATGCTCCCACACCTTTGTGTTTCCAAGAAAATTCTTATGCCTCATACATTTACTTAAACGCAATGGCTGTGTATGAATTTATACAGCAAGTATGTATTATTTTAAGGTGAAACATTTTACACAACAGATGTAACTAAATCCACTCAATGGAAAAAGAAAGAAGTGAAACTCGCAGAAGGAACGGTCTGATACAGTTTGGTCTATATGCACTGATGGGTTTGTAAATGATTCTATAATCTTTGAATAAAGCTCAGCAGGAACAGGGGATGCCTTAGACACGTTAGACAGCAAATTAAAAACATTATCAGCACTTGTTTTTTAGGGTTCACATTGTGGGTTTGAATATGGTCAGGAAGTTTATTGTGAACACGATGTGTTGGTGTAAGAACCGTTGGGGTAGCTGAGGCCACCACCTTGTGAAGATTGTGCTTTTATAAAACAGATGGGAAGGGAAGGCTCCATGGTTTTGCACACCAGACATTACAAAACCCCATGACATGTTTGACACCCAGACACTGGTATTAGATTCCTTACAATCCCTGTGTCATTCTGCACAGTGCCTGAATGACTGGATCAGTACCGGTTCACAGTTCCATGTGTTAGATGCCAATAACGGCCCTTTTCCATTAGTAACAATACAGCACGGTTCGACTCGGCACGGTTAAGGCTTTTCTACTAGCAACTGTTCAAGAAACTGGTCCCTTTCTCAGGACCCATTTTTCTGGGGTTCCAACCGTGCCGAACTGGCCCTAAGATGTGACGTCAGAACACTGTCAGTCACTGATTGGTCAGGGGGTGGAGTCACTGGTTGTTTGAGAAAACTTTCACAACAACCAATCTGCCATTTGCAATAACTCAACTTGAGGAGCGACTGGACCTATTTTAAAGATATATAAAACAATAATGACAACACCGTGGTCTAATGCTGAAGTGCAGGTGTTTTTTTGTGTTTAGTGGCTGAGCCCCCCGGTCCTCTGCACCAGAACTTTGAGCCTGATTTTCATAGGTCCTGCTCAGCTCTTATTGGTCCTTTTTGGGCCGGTACAGGTTGGATCGCTTAATTTTTAATTTCCACAGTGCCCATTAGTGCCTCTTTATGCTTTCAGTACTGGTTCCAGTGGACGGGGTTCAAACTGACGTCACACGCTTCTCACCAGCTGGTGGCGGTGAGACGCTGAAACAGATTTCAGTACAGGATGAGCATTTATTTAGAAGTTTCTGGTAAGTTAAAAAGAATACAAATTATTAAAATGATCAAATTATATATATATATGTATATATATGTGTATTTTTAGGAATATATATATATATATATATATAT